GAGCCGGTAGCACAAGTGCAGATGATGAATGACTGCGGGGAGGGAGTACAGGACCAGAGCAGAAGCACAGCCATTTGTTACTCCGCTGTCACAGATGTATTTTTAATGAATGTGCACCTCTGGCTCCTCTGCAGAGCGGTACTGTTCCTTGAGGCCAGCATGACCCCAATACTTCCTGTGAAGCAGCGGTTCTGAACAAACCCACTTGCTGGGGCTGTGTAATGTAAATAACCTTCTCCTTGTGAGAGCCGGAGCCATCAGTCTAGCTCCTCATTACCGTCCGTATACCTCGGCCGGGAATAGGGGCTGTTCCTGTCTCTGTGCTGGTAGCAGCTGGGGAGGTTTCACCTTGAGGCACCCATGTGTGCTAAGCTCTGTGCTTCTTAAATATGTTGTTTTTCTCTGCAAAAAAAAGTCCTTCAAAAAAGCCTTCAGGGTCAGCAAATCATTTCAAATTCAAATGTTCTTGCTGATTTATTGCAGCTCCTTTTAATCTTCCTGCATTTGCGGCAAGACGGTAAATACCTTTATGTTCAATTTTTTGTCCGTTTTACTATAGCATCTGTTGAAGGTTTCAGAATGATTAAGAATAGATTGGGGGGGACTGGAGGAAAGGGGAAGTATGAGGAAAGGAACCTTACAGTACCTGGTGTTTTCCTGCAGGGCAAATCCTTAGCTTAGCTGCTGACATTGACTCATGGAGACAAACCAAGAGGAATATATTTCCTACAGTAGAAAGACCCTTGGTCGGCTGGGAAAATAAGGATGAGTTTGGAATTAAAAAAGCTAGCAAGAAATCGAGGTTAAGGCAAGGCCATTTACATTCCACACCTCTGTAATTCAACCTTTTCCACTTCTTGCATGTAGATGTAGAAACTGCAGGAGAAAAAAAACCTGCAGACATCCTGGAAATAACTGCCTCATTTTGTAGGAGACACACATCAACATGTGACATACACTCACACACAGTGACACACACATACAAACACACACACATCATTGCATTTCCCATGTTACATCAGAGCTGTCACAAAATGTTTTATGCAAAGAAAAGATACTGCAAAAAGCAATTCCACATGCGCTGTACAACAAAATGACAAAGTGATAATTCACACTCAGCATAGGCCTACTGCACCAAACAAAATATAAAGGAAGGAAATAAAGGTGTGGTGCAGGAATGATTCCTACAAGCCAGAAATTATTCAGCATTTTAACACTTGTGTTTTTTGACGTGCTTTTGGTTAGGTCAGGTCTCCCTTGAAAAAGAGATCAATGATCTCAATGGGATACACCTGGATAAATAAAGGTTTGAAATTAAATGAAATATGCCTGAAATAAGGTCTGTGGTGAACGCAAGCTTAAGAGGCATGAATGTTTGTTTTTACGACATAAAACACGTCAGTAAATACCCCACTGGTGAACGTCTGACACTTCAATTTGTCATATAAAGAGGTGGTTGCTAAAAAGTGACTCAATGAGACTTGAATATGTCAACACGCAGAACATTAGCCGCCTTTGTTTGGCTGCCTTTAGCTTAGCCGCCTTTAGCTTAGCGCTAGGGCTGCTCAGCCATGTGACTGTGTCGTTTGTTTATAGCCTTAGCCTATTCCTGGCGATTGCATTTACTCTCTACATCAATTATAAAAGTGTTATTAATATGTGGGATTATCCTGCTGAATAAAATGTGTATTTCTCATATACTTGTGTTTGCTACAGAGCTTATTTTAAATGGAAAAATCCTGTTGCTAGAGGGAGCACTTGCTAACATGCTAACTTCCAGGTTGGCCTAGAAAAAAATACATCATCCCTGCATCACTCTATTCACTTTTTGAGCCCTCCATGGCTCTTGAATATCACAAAAGAAATTCTTCATGATGTTTGTCTATTTTAGTCTTCCAGTCCCATGTTCAATATGTACCTCTGGGTAGGGTCTTTCCTCCCACAGCTGAGAGAATATTATGCAGACAGCAGAGGAAATGACACCCTGTCCTGAGCTTGTTATGTCTGAATTAAGGCACATTGCTGCACAGGAGCAGGGGCGGGGGTTGGCAGTCTCAGGAGAGGGGGGCAGAAATGTCACGGTGTTTATGAAGGCTTTTCGTTGTGGATGGACGTCTCCACGGGAACCCTCGGCCTGCCGGAGCGATTGGTCTTTACAGAGCTCTCCCCCGACTCCAGCATCAGTGGATGGCTGTTCTTGTGTCTGTCTTGATCTGTGACACAACTCTGGCTGTCACTGTCAAGAAAGAATAAATGAGCTGCTTCACTCCCAAATCCAATACAAGAACATAGATGTATAAATATGCTAGGTAAGTCATTTGTGCCCTTATTATTTATTATTTGTGTGAGCTGGTATTGTCATCTCATCATAATGTTGTGTCTTTTATTTGTATCTTTTGTCTGTACTAAATAGAACAAAATTGAAATAAAAAATCCAACAAATGAACTAATATTTAGAGGTCAGAATCAGAAGTTTATTACCAGGTAGGTTTACACTTACGAGGAATTTGACTAGGTGTCGTGGTGGATACATAAAAGTAAAACAACAATTAAAACACAGATAGAGAACTAGAACAAATATTTAAAATAACAAAAAAATATAGTAAAATATAAACATAAGAGTATTTACATTGCAATGGAATGGAATAAAAAGGAATAAAATATGGAATACAAATAAAAATCGGCAGTAATAAGTAATGTTATGCTGATTTTCCGGTTCATATTTGTATATTTTGTGCCTCTACTGTGACATGTTTACATGCTTTAATGTTCAAAAAGGTATTTATTTTTCTCATACTGCCTGTGCTGCAGCACCTCTTTTCACCCTCTGTCTGAAACCAGAGCCCAGTCTGCTCTGATTGGTTAGCTGACCAGCTCTGTTGTGATTAGAGATGTCCCAAACGCTTAGCCTACATGTACAATGTGTTAGAGCACTCGCCAATAGAAGCACAAGTGTTATGTAGTGATGTCACAATGTTACGGAAGTTTTACGGAAGCCTGGAGTGTGTGGGAGAGAAAACTCATGCACAAAAACCTATATAACACACTAGAGGAAAGGGAATCCCCCAAACAGCTTAATAGGGCCTCTTTAATACATGCTGATATATTGGTTACATACCCCTATACTCCCTCTGCTAAACCTGTAATTAAATGGGTCATCTGAGCTGTTCTTTATCAGAAATGTAGTTTTTTGTCAGATTTGTAAGGTACCAAATATACGATCGAGTGGTGCAACAGGCCTGCCATTTTAGAACATTAATCACAAAACAAACTACTTTATGTTTCTTCTTCCTGAGTTTTGCACATAAAATCCATCACAAAGAACTTCCCTACACAATGCACAACTCCGATGTTTTATTAAAACACAGCCAGGGAAATCTGCTGATAGTAGGCACATTGTGCGGCCCTTAAATCATCACATACAGCTTTGAGATGTTTACCACATCATAAAACAAACAACATGTGTTATGCTCAGTGATGATGGCTTATGAACGTACTTGTTTCTATGGCTGAAAACGTCTATTTCATATACATATAGAGCAGTGTATGCCAGTACCTTTCTCGACTGTCTTTGGCGATTGTGTTGTCTTCATAGATTTTCAGCATAGTTTCTGTGCGGTCGTCCTGCTGCTTTTTAGCCTCCTGAAACCTAGAAAATACATTTAGGAATATTCACACACAAAGAAGAAAACAACTTTAAACTCTGTGGCATTTAGCTCCAAGTCAATTTCTTAATTGTTATGTAAACTTTGGGTCATTTTAAGCAAACATAATGCAAACAGGAGTTAATAGTGTATTTATTTGGGAAAATGTTCAGCTTCAGATGAATGGAAATGTGAAGGTCCAGTGATGTATGACAGCAAAGAAAAAGAGAATTTGGAATTGAGTTGAGATAAAGGACAGTGTGTGTGTTCAAGATAATGAAGGAGCATGTCAACTAGTGACACAGTGTGCCTCAATGATGTTTATTTGAACCGTTTTTGGACAACAGTGGAGCTTTTTGAGACAGAGGTATGAGATACAAAGAGAGTACGTGTTTAAAATTAAAAAAAATAAAACTATTGGTTTTTTTTCCTTTTATATTGTGTCCTTTTATACAACGGGAGATAATGTAGCTTGCAGCCTGGAGAATATATCTCTGAAATCTGAATTTCTGAGATATAATTCAGTTGTAATTTCCATTCGAGCGGTACATTTAAGAAAGAAATCGGAAAAAATGGTTGTTGTTTGTCAAGGAATAAAGACTATTATCGGAATCACTGATAATTACAATTTTACCTACAATGGTCATAATGCGGCGTTTTAATTACAAATTATTAAGCCTTATCATACATGTCTAACTCCAATTTAATCGAATGTCATTTAAAAAGCAAAAATACAAAACTGCTTTATTAGTGAAAAAAGCAGCACTGACTTGTTTACTTTTCAATTTGTAAATGCAGTATTTCTTGCTGTCACTCTCTTATCAATGTCAATAAAATACCTACATACCCATGCTACCTGCAGTGGTACTTTATATCATAACAAGGGCTTCCATTTTCTTCCAATCACTGTCTTCAGTCAGCCAATATGGCAGCAGATGGACAATATAGGGGTAATATATCCTTTAATACAACACCTGGGCTCCAGTCTCTCTTTGACCTTGGCAATGGAGAGGATATAGGGGCTGATCTGTCTGGTGATGGTGGTGAGGTATGAGTTCTCCTGCTTCAGCTGCAACAGGTCATGCAGCTGGGCTGGAACATGCAGATGAAGGAAATGGAACAAAACAAGAACATCAAAAATATACAATGTGATAAATGTAAACGTTTGACTGATAATGTGTTCGTTTTGAAGACATACCTTCGTAGATCTCCTGCTCATTAGTGACCCTCTGGAAAGTCTCCTCCCAGATCTGAATGGAGAGGGAAAAAGTTAATGATCATGAAATACCACACGCTACTGTCATTAGACTCGAGGGATACCTTGACATTTATTTTCCCTCCGTCTGCATTCCTAGCAGGCTAAAATGAATACAAATGGGTGAAAACTATGTTGTTAGTAGCAGCTAGAGGTACTGATGGAGGACAAATGTTCCTTGCAGTGTAGAAACACTCAGTTAAACTCATGCATTCAGTTGTTTTACTTCATATAAGAATACAAGTATTAGATTCAAATTACAATTAAAGTACTAATTATGCAAAATGATCATTGTCACAGTATGTATTATATCACTGGTTCATAATTAGTAATCCGTTAATGTGAAAATAATTTACATTTTGCAGCTTGTAGAGAAGAAGCTAAATTGAATCACTTTTTATACTTCCTGGTATCTTAATCCATTAAAGTACATGATAACTGATTAGTTGATAATACCTGTTATCAGTAATACAGACGTTCAAGGTAACTAAAGCTGTGATCTCCATTTAAAAAGGGGTTAAAGGACAATGTTTGTTCCTTTTCTATTCTACTCTTTGCTGCTATAACTGTTTATACTACTGCTTTCATCACTGCTTTTATTCATTTGTTTCTGTTTTAACTGATTCGAGAAAAGCCTGCACATTTCCGTTGTACCTGAGTATGATGACCATAACGTGTGATTCTGATTGACCCACCTCCTCGAACATGACTCTCATAGTTTCCACGGTGGAGTGCTGTGAAGCTATCTTACTGTCGATGTTCAGCGATCTCTCCATTATCTCTCCCATCGTCTCTGTGTTGATGATGGAGTGGTGCTTGGTCAGATCCCGGTGCAGCTCCTGGACCTGGTCCTTCAGATTCTGAATCTCTGTCTGGAGAGTCTTCAAACACACAAGCACATACAGGACATAGAAAATGACACTCAGGAGGTTCTTTAAAGTCTTTAAAGCAGCATATCTGATAGTGTACAGATGCCAGGTGAAGTGCGTCTGAGCATGAACACCTTGTTTCTCCCTGAGGGGTTCATGTGCTGCTTCTAGATTGCTTTTCTTGAGGATCAGAGGATCATCCCAGGAAGAGAAGTTGCTGCAGCTGTTTGAACCAGTGTAGAACCAAAGCAACTATACTGTATTTCAACGTTTAAAGCATACACAATAATCTGTGTATCTGCCCCCTGATTCAGGTTCGCTCTCATTTTAATAGGTTAACCCACGATACATCCTTTCCTGAAAATTGGTTGTTTCTGCCATCTAATTTGGCTGACATAAAAACAAACTGATCCAATAACTTTCCTTCCTTAAAGGTAGGGTAGGTCATTCACTTCAGAAACACTTTGTTATATTCCATGGAATGCTCTTAACATCCCGATAGCAATTCATAAATTAAATGCTTTGACAATAAATACATAGAAAAATGTCATCTGTGGAAGCTGTGACGCTGCAAAAAGCACGACCAATCATCTGAGCCGGCCCGGCTAAAATAACTGGATGGCCTACCTGCCTATCAGCCTTCCATCTGTGCACAAACTTATCTCGTGCCCTCATTGGTCATGTGCGCGTTTGTGTGTGTTGGAGGGGCA